CCTATCAATCCGGGCATCTATCCACGTAACTATGCAGGGTTCTCTCCACGTATCCATCCACGTATCCCACCACGTGTATATCCACCTATCTATAGAGGTATCCAGCCACCTATCAATCCACCTATCCAAAGACGTATCTATCCACATATCAATACACGTATATATCCACGCATCCATCCACGTATATATCAACGTATCTATCCCCGAATCTATCCACGTATCTATTCACTTTTCAATCCAGGTAGCAATCCACGTTTCTAACCGCGTATCTTTCAACGTATCAATCCACTCATCAATCCACGTATCTATTTACGTATCTATCCCTGAAAATATCCACGTATCTATTCACATTTCAAACCACGTATAAATCCACGGATCAATCCACATATCTATCCACGGTTATATCCACGTATATATCCACGCATTCAACCACGTATCAATCCACGTATCTATCCACGGTTATCTCCACGTATTTATCCAGGTATCCAACCACATATCTATCCATCTAACCAACCACGTATCTATCGACCTAGCAATCCACGCATCAATCCGCGTATCCATCTGCGTATCTATCCACATATCAATCCACGTATCAATTCACGTATCTATCCAGGTATCTATCCGCGGTCCACTCCACGTATGTATCCACGTATCTCTCCAAATATCAATCCACGTATAATTCCGGGCATCATTCCACGTAACTATACAGGATTCTATCCACGTATCTATCCACGTATCCAACCACGTATCTATCCACGCATCAATCCACCTATCAATCCGGGCATCAGTCCACGAAACTGTTCAGGGTTTTCTCCACGTATCTATCGACGTATCCAGCCACAGATTTTTCCATATATCCAACCACGTATCTATCCACGTATATCGACCTAACTTAACAAGTATTATTCCACGTATCTATCCTCGCATCAATCCACGTATCTATCTGCGATACTCTCCACGTATCTATCCACGTACCTATTCACATATCAATCCACGTATCAATCCGTGCATCAATCCACGTAACCATCCAGGAATCTATCCACGTATCTATCCACGTATCCAACCACGTATCTATCAAAGCATCAATCCGCGTATCTATCAACGTATCTATCCACATATCAATCCACGTATCAATCCGTGCATCAATCCACGTAACCATCCAGGAATCTATCCACGCATCTATCCACGTATCCAACCACGTATCTATCAAAGCATCAATCCGCGTATCTATCAACGTATCTATCCACATATCAATCCACGTATCAATCCGTGCATCAATCCACGTAACCATCCAGGAATCTATCCACGTATCTATCCACGGATCAATTCACCCATCAATCCGATAATCAATCCCTGTAACTATCCAGGGTTCTCCACGTATCTATCCACCCATCTAATCACATATCAATCCACGTATCAATCCGCGTATCTAGCCAGGTGGCTATCCACGTATAAATCAACCTATCAATCCGGGCATCTATCCACGTAACTATGCAGGGTTCTCTCCACGTATCCATCCACGTATCCCACCACGTGTATATCCACCTATCTATAGAGGTATCCAGCCACCTATCAATCCACCTATCCAAAGACGTATCTATCCACATATCAATACACGTATATATCCACGCATCCATCCACGTATATATCAACGTATCTATCCCCGAATCTATCCACGTATCTATTCACTTTTCAATCCAGGTAGCAATCCACGTGTCTAACCGCGTATCTTTCAACGTATCAATCCACTCATCAATCCACGTATCTATTAACGTATCTAACCCTGAGAATATCCACGTATCTATTCACATTTCAAACCACGTATAAATCCACGCATCAATCCACATATCTATCCACGGTTATATCCACGTATATATCCACGCATCTATCGATATATCAAATCACGTATCCATCCACGGTTCTCTCCACGTTTCTATCCACATATCCAGAGACGTATCAATCCAGGTATCCAGCCGCGTATCAATCCACCTATCCAAAGATGTATCTATCCAAATATCAATACACGTATATATCCACGCATCCATCCACGTATCTAATAACGTATCTATCCCTGAAAATATCTACGTATCTATTCACCTTTCAAACCACGTATCAATCCACGCATCAATCCACGTATCTATACATGGTTATATCCACGTATTAATCCAGGTAACTATCCATGGATCAATCCACCTATCAATGTGGGCATCAATCCACGTAACCATGCCGTGTTCTGTCCACGTATCTATCCACGTATCAAACAACGTATATATCGACGTATCTATTCAGGTATCCAGCCACATATCAATCCACGTATTTATCCACATATCAATCCACGTATCTGTCAACGTATCTATTACCGAATATATCCACGTATCTATTCAGCTTTCAATCCACGTATATCTCCACGGTTCTATCCACGTATATATCCAGGTATCCAACCACGCATCTATCCATCTGTCCAACCACGCATCCATCCACTTAGAAATCCACGCATCAACCCGCGTATCTATCAACTTATCCATTCACATATCAATCCACGTATCGATCCACGTATCTATCAAGTTATCTATACACGGATCAATCCACGTAACTATGCAGGGTTCTCTCCACGTATCCATCCACGTATCCAGCCACGTATCTATCCACGTATCTAATCAGGTGTCCAGCCACGTATCAATCCACGTATCAAAAGACGTATCTATCCACATATCAATCCACGTATATATCCACGCATCCATCCACGTATATATCAACGTATCTATCCCCGAATCTATCCACGTATCTATTCACTTTTCAATCCACGTATATATGCACTCTTCTATCCACGTATATATCCAGTTATCCAACCACGTATCTATCCATCTATCCAACCACGTATCTATCAACTAAACAATCCACGCATCAATCCACGTATCTATCCAGGTATCACTCCACGGTTATATCCACGTATCAATCCGGGCATCAATCAACGTAACCATACAGGATTCTCTCCACGTATCTATCCACGTATCAAAAGACGTATCGATCCACATATCAATCCACGTATAAATCCACATATCAATCCACGTATTTTTCAACGTATCTATCCATGAATCTCTCCACTCATCTATCCAGGTATCCATCCACGTATCAATCCACGCATAAAAAGATGTATCTATCCATATATCTATCCACGTATCTTTCAGCGTATCTATCCTTGAATCTATCCACGTATCTATTCACACTTCAATCCACGTATCAATCCACGTGTCTATCCACGTATCTTTCCACGTATAAATCCAAGCATCAAGCCACGCATCAATCCACGTATGTACCACATATTAATCCACGAATATATTCACGTTTCTATCCACATATCAATCCACGAATCAATACACGTAGCTATCCACGATTCTCCCCATGTATTCATCCACGTATGCAACGACGTATTATACCACGTATCCAAAGAGGAGCTTATCCACATATCAAATCGCGTGTAAATTCACGAATAAATCCACGTATATATCCGCGTATCAATCCACGTACCTTTCAAAGTATCTACCCCGAATCTCTCCACGTATCTATTCACTTTTCAATCCACGTATCTCTCCACGGTTCTATCCACGTATATATCCAGGTATCCAACCACGTATCTATCCATCTATCCAAACACGCATCTATCCACGTAGCAATCCACGCATCAATCCGTGTATCTATTCACGTAACTATGAACGTATATATGCCCGAATTTATCCACCTATCCAACACGTATACATCCATTTATCTATCCAGGTACGCAACCACGTCTCAATACATGTATCTGTCGACGTATCTATCGCCGAATCTATCCATGTTTCTTTTCACTTTTCAATCCACGTATCAATCCACGTGACTATCCACATATAAAACCACGCCTCAATTAACGTATTTATCCCTGAAAATATCCACGTATCTATTCACATTTCAAACCACGTATCAATCCACGTAACAATCCACGTAGCTATCCACGGTAATATCCACGTATCTATCCACGCATCTATCGATATATCAAATCACGTATCCATCCACGGTTCTCTCCACGTTTCTATCCACATATCCAGAGACGTATCAATCCAGGTATCCAGCCGCGTATCAATCCACCTATCCAAAGATGTATCTATCCAAATATCAATACACGTATATATCCACGCATCCATCCACGTATATATCAACGTCTCTATCCCCGAATCTATCCACGTATCTATTCACTTTTCAATCCAGGTAGCAATCCACGTTTCTAACCGCGTATCTTTCAACGTATCAATCCACTCATCAATCCGAGTATCTATTAACGTATCTAACCCTGAAAATATCCACGTATCTATTCACATTTCAAAGCACGTATCAATCCACCCATAAATCCACGCATCTATTAACGTATCTACCTCTGAAAATGTCTACGTATCTATTCATATTTCAAACCACGTATCAATCCACGCATCAATCCACGGATGTACTCACGGTAATATCCACGTATATATCCACGTATCCCACCGCGTATCTATCCACGTATGTATCCACATATCAATTCACGTATCTATCCACGGTTCTTTCCACGTATCTATCCACATATCCAGAGACGTATCTATCCACATATCTAACCAGGTATCCAGCCACCTATCAATCCACGTATTATAAGACGTATCCATTCACGCATCCATCCACGTATATATCAACGTATGTATCATCGAATCTATACACGTATCTATTCACTTTTCAATCCAGGTAGCAATCCACGTGTCTAACCGCGTATCTTTCAACGTATCAATCCACTCACCAATCCACGTATCTATTAACGTATCCATCCCTGAAAATATCCACGTATCTATTCACATTTCAAAGCACGTATCAATCCACCCATAAATCCACGCATCTATTAACGTATCTACCTCTGAAAATGTCTACGTATCTATTCATATTTCAAACCACGTATCAATCCACGCATCGATCCACGGATATACTCACGGTAATATCCACGTATGTATCCACGTATCCCACCGCGTATCTATCCACGTATGTATCCACATATCAATTCACGTATCTATCCTCGGTACGGTCCACGTATCTATCCACGTATCAATTCACGTATCAATCCACGTACCTATTCAGGTATCCAGCCTCGTATCAATCCACGTATCAAGAGACGTATCTATCCACATATCAATACACGCATATATCCACGCATCCATCCACGTATATATCAACGTATCTATCCCCGAAACTATACACGCATCGATTCACTTTTCAATCCAGGTAGCAATCCACGTGTCTAACCGCGTATCTTTCAACGTATCAATCCACTCATCAATCCACGTATCTATTAACGTATCTATCCCTGAAAATATCTACGTATCTATCCACGTATCAATCCACGTATCTATCTACTTTTATATACACGTATATATCCACGTATCCCACCGGATATTTATCCACGTACCTATCAACATATCATTTCACGTAACTATTCACGGTTCTCTCCACCTTTCAATTCACATATCCAAGGACGTATCTATCCACATATCTATCCTGGTATCCAGCCACGTAACAATCCACCTATCCAAAGACGTATGTATCCACATATCAATACACGTATAAATCCACATATCAATCCACGTATCTTTCAAAGTATCTATCCCCGAGTCTCTACACATATCTATTCACTTTTCAATGCAGGTATCTATCCACGGTTCTATCAACGTATATATACAGGTATCCAACCAACAATCAATCCGCGTATCCAAATACGTGCGTATCCACTTATCAATCCACGTATATATCCACGCATCCACCCACTTAAATATCCACGGTTTTATCCACGTATCTGTTGACGTATCCAACAACGTCTCTATCCTCGCATCTATTCAGGTATCCAGCCACGTATCAATCCACCTATCCAAAGATGTATCTATCCACATATCAATACACGTATATATCCACGCATCCTTATACGTATATATCAACGTATCTATCCAGGTATCTATCCACGGTTATATCCACGTATCAATCCGGGCATCAATCAACGTAACCATACAGGATTCTCTCCACGTATCTATCCACGTATCAAACGACGTATCGATCCACATATCAATCCACGTATAAATCCACATATCAATCCACGTATCTATTCACACTTCAATCCACGTATCAATCCACGTGTCTATCCACGTATCTTTCCACGTATAAATCCAAGCATCAATCCACGCATCAAACCACGTATTTACCACATATTAATCCACGAATATATTCACGTTTCTATCCACATATCAATCCACGTATCAATACACGTAGCTATCCTCGATTCTCCCCATGTATTCATCCACGTATGCAACGACGTATTATACCACGTATCCAAAGAGGAGCTTATCCACATATCAAATCGCGTGTAAATCCAGGAATCAATTCACGTACCTTTCAAAGTATCTATCCCCGAATCTCTCCACGTATGTATTCACTTTTCAATGCAGGTATCTATCCACGGTTCTATCCACGCATCAATCCACGTGTCTATCCAGGTATCTATCCACGGTTATATCCACGTATCAATCCGTGCATCAATCAACGTAACCATACAGGATTCTCTCCACGTATCTATCCACATATCAATCCACGTATCAATTCACGTATCTATCCAGGTATCTATCCGCGGTCCTCTCCACGTATGTATCCACGTATCTCTCCAAATATCAATCCACGTAAAAATCCGGGCATCATTCCACGAAACTATACAGGATTATATCCACGTATATATCCCCGTATCCAACCAGGTATTTATCCACGTACCTATCAACATATCATTTCACGTAACTATCCACTGTTCTCTCCACCTATCTGTCCAGGTATCCAGCCACGTATCAATCCACGTATCAAAAGACGTATCTATCCACATATCAATTCACGTATAAATCCACATATCAATCCACGAATCTTCCAACGTATCTATTCACGGTTCTATCCACGTATCAATCCACGCATCAATCCACGTATTTATCCAGGTATCTATCCATGGATCAATCCACGAATCAATCAGGGCATCAATCCACGTAACTATACTGGATTCTCTCCACGTATCTATCCACGTATCCAACCACGTATCTGTCCACGTACCTATTCAGGTATCCAGCCACGTATCAATCCACGTATCAAGAGACGTATCTATCCACATATCAATACACGCATATATCCACGCATCCATCCACGTATATATCAACGTATCTATCCCCGAATCTATCCACGTATCTATTCACTTTTCAATCCAGGTAGCAATCCACGTGTCTAACCGCGTATCCTTCAACGTATCACTCCACTCATCAATCCACGTATCTATTTACGTATCTAACCCTGAAAATATCCACGTATCTATTCACATTTCAAACCACGTATCAATCCACGCATCAATCCACGTATCTATCTACTTTTATATACACGTATATATCCACGTATCCAACCGGATATTTATCCACGTACCTATCAACATATCATTTCACGTAACTATCCACGGTTCTCCGCACGTTTCTATCCACATATCCAGAGACGTATCTATCCACGTATTTATCCAGGTATCCAGCCACGTATTAATCCACGTATTATAAGACGTAACTATCCACATAAAAATACACGTATAAATACAGGTATCCATCCACGTATCTATCCACGTATCCAACCACGTATCTGTCCACGTACCTATTCAGGTATCAAACCACGTAACAATCCACGTATCAAATGACGTATCTATCCACATATCAATTCACGTATAAATCCACATATCAATCCACGAATCTTCCAACGTATCTATTCACGGTTCTATCCACGTATCAATCCACGCATCAATCCACGTATTTATCCAGGTATCTATCCATGGATCAATCCACGAATCAATCAGGGCATCAATCCACGTAACTATACTGGATTCTCTCCACGTATCTATCCACGTATCCAACCACGTATCTGTCCACGTACCTATTCAGGTATCCAGCCACGTATCAATCCACGTATCAAGAGACGTATCTATCCACATATCAATACACGCATATATCCACGCATCCATCCACGTATATATCAACGTATCTATCCCCGAATCTATCCACGTATCTATTCACTTTTCAATCCAGGTAGCAATCCACGTGTCTAACCGCGTATCCTTCAACGTATCACTCCACTCATCAATCCACGTATCTATTTACGTATCTAACCCTGAAAATATCCACGTATCTATTCACATTTCAAACCACGTATAAATCCACGCATCAATCCACGTATCTATCTACTTTTATATACACGTATATATCCACGTATCCAACCGGATATTTATCCACGTACCTATCAACATATCATTTCACGTAACTATCCACGGTTCTCCGCACGTTTCTATCCACATATCCAGAGACGTATCTATCCACGTATTTATCCAGGTATCCAGCCACGTATTAATCCACGTATTATAAGACGTAACTATCCACATAAAAATACACGTATAAATACAGGTATCCATCCACGTATCTATCCACGTATCCAACCACGTATCTGTCCACGTACCTATTCAGGTATCAAACCACGTAACAATCCACGTATCAAATGACGTATCTATCCACATATCAATTCACGTATAAATCCACATATCAATCCACGAATCTTCCAACGTATCTATCCACGGTTCTATCCACGTATCAATCCACGCATCAATCCACGTATTTATCCAGGTATCTATCCATGGATCAATCCACAAATCAATCCGGGCATCAATCCACGTAACTATACTGGATTCTCTACACGTATCTATCCACGTATCCGAAGACGTATCTATCCACGTATCTATTCAGGTATCCAGCCACGTATCAATCCACGTATCTATTCACTTTTCAATCCAGGTAGCAATCCACGTGTCTAACCGCGTATCTTTCAACGTATCAATCCACTCATCAATCCACGCATCTATTAACGTATCTAACCCTGAAAATATCTACGTATCTATTCACATTTCAAACCACGTATCAATCCACGCATCAATCCACGGATATACTCACGGTAATATCCACGTATGTATCAGCGTATCCAACCGCGTATCTATCCACGTACCTATCCACATATCAATTCACGTATCTATCCTCGGTTCTCTCCACGTATCTATCCACGTATCCAACCACGTATCTATCCACGTACCTATTCAGGTATCCAGCCACCTATCAATCCACGTATCAAGAGACGTATCTATCCACATATCAATACACGCATATATCCACGCATCCATCCACGTATATATCAACGTATCTATCCCCGAATCTATCCACGTATCTATTCACTTTTCAATCCAGGTAGCAATCCACGTGTCTAACCGCGTATCTTTCAACGTATCACTCCACTCATCAATCCACGTATCTATTAACGTATCTAACCCTGAGAATATCCACGTATCTATTCACATTTCAAACCACGTATCAATCCACGCATCAATCCACGTATCTATCTACTTTTATATACACGTATATATCCACGTATCCAACCGGATATTTATCCACGTACCTATCAACATATCATTTCACGTAACTATCCACGGTTCTCTCCACGTTTCTATCCACATATCCAGAGACGTATCTATCCACGTATTTATCCAGGTATCCAGCCACGTATGAATCCACGTATCAAGAGACGTATCTATCCACATATCAATACACGCATATATCCACGCATCCATCCACGTATTTTTCAACGTATATATTCTCGAATCTATCCACGTATCTATTCACTTTTCAATCCAGGTAGCAATCCACGTGTCTAACCGCGTATCTTTCAACGTATCACCCCACTCATCAATCCACGTATCTATTAACGTATCTAACCCTGAAAATATCCACGTATCTCTCCACACATCCAACCACGCATCTCTCCATATAACAAACCACGCATCCATTCACGGATCTATCCAAGTATCTATCCACGTATCCAAACACGTGTCTATCCACGTATCTATCCATGTATACAGCCACGTATCAATCCACCTATCCAAAGACGTATCTATCCACATATCAATACACGTATATATCCACGCATCCATCCACGTATATATCAACGTATCTATCCCCGAATCTATCCACGTATCTATTCACTTTTCAATCCAGGTAGCAATCCACGTGTCTAACCGCGTATCTTTCAACGTATCACTCCACTCATCAATCCACGTATCTATTAACGTATCTAACCCTGAGAATATCCACGTATCTATTCACATTTCAAACCACGTATCAATCCACGCATCAATCCACGTATCTATCTTCTTTTATATACACGTATATATCCACGTATCCAACCGGATATTTATCCACGTACCTATCAACATATCATTTCACGTAACTATTCACGGTTCTCTCCACCTTTCAATTCACATATCCAAGGACGTATCTCTCCACATATCTAACCAGGTATCCAGCCAAGTATCAATCCACCTATTATAAGACGTATCTATTCACGCATCCATCCAAGTATATATCAACGTATGTATCATCGAATCTATACACGTATCTATTCACTTTTCAAACCACGTATCAATCCACGCATCAATCCACGTATCTATCTACTTTTATATACACGTATATATCCACGTATCCAACCGGATATTTATCCACGTACCTATCAACATATCATTTCACGTAACTATCCACGGTTCTCTCCACGTTTCTATCCACATATCCAGAGACGTATCTATCCACGTATTTATCCAGGTATCCAGCCACGTATTAATCCACGTATTATAAGACGTAACTATCCACATATAAATACACGTATAAATACAGGTATCCATCCACGTATCTATCCACGTATCCAACCACGTATCTGTCCACGTACCTATTCAGGTATCCAGCCACGTATCAATCCACGTATCAAGAGACGTATCTATCCACATATCAATACACGCATATATCCACGCATCCATCCACGTATATATCAACGTATCTATCCCCGAATCTATCCACGTATCTATTCACTTTTCAATCCAGGTAGCAATCCACGTTTCTAACCGCGTATCTTTCAACGTATCACTCCACTCATCAATCCACGTATCTATTAACGTATCTAACCCTGAAAATATCCACGTATCTATTCACATTTCAAACCACGTATCAATCCACGCATCAATCCACCTATCTATCAACTGTTTATATCCACGTATATATCCACGTATCCAACCAGGTATTTATCCACGTACCTATCCACATATCATTTCACGTAACTATCCACGGTTCTCTCCACCTATCTGTCCAGGTATCCAGCCACGAAGCAATCCACCTATCAAAAGAAGTATCTATCCACATATAAATACATGTATATATCCACGCATCCATCCACGTATATATCAACGTATCTATCCCCGAATCTATCCACGTATCTATTCACTTTTCAATCCAGGTAGCAATCCACGTGTCTAACCGCGAATCTTTCAACGTATCAATCCACTCATCAATCCACGTATCTATTAACGTATCTAACCCTGAAAATACCACGTATCTATCCACGTATCCAACCACGTATCTATCCCCGTATCTATACAGGTATCCAGCCACGTATCAATCCACGTATCAAGAGACGTATCTATCCACATATCAATACACGCATATATCCACGCATCCACCCACGTATACATCAACGTCTCTTTCCCCGAATCTATCCACGTATCTATTCACTTTTCAATCCAGGTAGCAATCCACGTGTCTAACCGCGCATCTTTCAACGTATCAATCCACTCATCAATCCACGTATCTATTAACGTATTTAACCCTGAAAATATCCACGTATCTCTCCACGTATCCAACCACGTGTCTATCCACGTATCTATCCTGGTATCCAGCCAAGTAACAATCCACCTATCCAAAGACGTATCTATCCACATATCAATACACGTATATATCCACGCATCCATCCACGTATATATCCTCGAATCTATCCACCTATCTATTCACTTTTCAATCCAGGTAGCAATCCACGTGTCTAACCGCGTATCTTTCAACGTATCAATCCACTCATCAATCCACGTATCTATTAACGTATCTAACCCTGAAAATATCCACGTATCTATTCACATTTCAAACCACGTATCAATCCACGCATCAATCCACGTATCTATCCATGTATCCAACCGCGTATCAATCCACGTATCTATCCGCGGTTCTATCCACGTATATATCCAGGTATCCAACCACGTATCTATCCATCTATCCAACCTTGTATCTATCCACGTAGCAATCCACGCACCAATCCGTTTATCTATCCACGTATCTATGAACGTATCTATGGCCGAATCTATTCAATTATCCAACCACGTATCTCCCCCCAGTTATCTTTCCAGGTATCCAACCACGACTCAATACAATTTTCTATCAACGTATCTATCTTCGAATCTATCCACGTATCTATTCACGTATCTATCCACGGTTCTCTCCACGTATCTATCCACATATCCATAGACGTATCTATCAACGTATCCATCCAGGTATCAAGCCACGTATCAATCCACCTATCAAGAGACGTATCTATCCACATATCAATCCACGTATAAATCCACATATCAATCCACGTATCTTTCAACGTATCTATCCCCGAATCTATCCACATATCTTTTCACTTTCCAATCCACGTATCAATACACGTATCTAACCACGATTCTCCCCAGGTATTATTCCACGTATGCAACCATGTATTATAGAACGTATCCAAATACGTTCTTATCCACATATCAAATCACGTGTAAATCCTCGTATCTATCCACGCATCTGTCCACGTATCAATCGACGCATCAATCGACGCATCAATCTACTTAACTAACCACGAATCTCTCCACGTATCTATCCACGTATCAAACCACGAATCTATCCACGTATCTATCCAGGTATCCAACCAGGTATCATTACACGTATGGAAATACGTATCAATACACATATTAATCCACCTATATATCGACGCATCCATCCACGGAATATATCAAAGTAACTATCCCCGTATCTATCCACGTATCCATTCACCTTTCAATCCACGTATCAATCCACGTGTGTAACCACGTAACTATCCACGTATAAATACACGAATCAATGCACGTTTCAATCCACGGTTCTATCCACGTAACTATCCACGTATCCAAGCACACCGATTCCACATATCCAACCACGTATCTATCCACGGATCTCTCCATGTATCTATCCACGTATCAAACCACGTATCTATCCACGTATCTATCCAGGTATCCAACCAGGTATCCAACCAGGTATCAATACACGTATCGAAATACGTGTCAATACACATATCAATCCACGTATATATCCACGCATCCATCCACGGAATATATCAAGGTATCTATCCCCGTATGTATCCACGTATATATCCACGTATGAATCCACCTATCAATTCATGCATCAATCGACGTATCTATTCACGGTTCACTGCACGTTTCCATCCGTGTATCCAACCAGGTATCAATCCACGTATCCAAAGACATGCCTATCCACATATCAAATCACGTGTAAATCCACGCTTAAATCCACGTATCTATCCGCTTATCAATCCACGTATCAATCCACGTATCTATCCACGTATCTGTCCACGTGGTTATACACCTGATTAGATACGTGAATAAGTACATATTTGAATACGTGTATTGATACGTTATGGTATATGTGAATAGATACGTGGATTGATACGTTGTTGGCTACGTGGAAAGCTACGTGGAGAGATCTTCGGTAGATACGTGGATTGATGCGTGGATTGTTTCGTGGATTGATGCGTGGATTGATACGTGGATTGATCCATGGATTGATACCTGGCTATATTCCTTTATCTATACGTAGATGGATAGGTGGATTTTCATGTGGATAAATACGTGTTTGGATACGTGCATTGATACATGGATGGATACGTGGATTGTTATGTTTATAGATACGTGAAATGATGCTTGGATTGAAAGGTGGTTAGATGCGTGGATTGGTACGTGGATAGATTCGTGAATATAACGGTGGAGATCAACGTGGGTTGATACGTGGATAGATGAATTTACAGATAGATAGTTATCGGATAGATAGATAGATAGAAAGATGAATAGACACATTCATAGATAGATAGATATTTATTTAGAAATATAGATAGATATTTAGGTGTATGGACATATAGATCGATAGGTGGTTACACACGTGATTAGATACGTGGATAGATACATGTTTGAATACGTGGATAGATACGTGATGGGATACCTGGATAGATACGTGGATTGATACGTGGTTGGATATGTGGATTGATACGTGGTTGGACACCTTGATAGCTACGTGAGGAGAACGTTGTTAGATTCGTGGATTGATGCGTAGATTGATACGTTGACAGATACGTGGATACATAAGTGTAGTGATGCGTGAAGGGATACGTGGATAGTTACGTGTATAGATAATTGGATAGATATGTGGATAGACACCTGGATGGATACGTGAATTGATCCGTGGATTGATACCTGGCTATATTCCTGCATCTAAACGTGGATGGATAGGTGGATTTATATGTGGATAGTTACGTGTTTGGATACGTGGATAGATACGTGAATAGATACGTGGGTAGATAGGTGAATGGAACCGTGAATATAACCGTGGGGAGTTACGTGGGTTGATACAAAGATAGATAAGTTTATAGATAGATAGATAGATAGACAGATAGATAGATAGATAGATAGATAGATAGATAGATAGATAGATAGATAGATAGATAGATAGATAGATAGATAGATAGATAGATAGATAGATAGATAGATAGATAGATAGATAGATAGATAGATAGATAGATAGATAGATAGATAGATAGATAGATAGATAGATAGATAGATAGATAGATAGATAGATAGATAGATAGATAGATAGATAGATAGATAGATAGATAGATAGATAGATAGATAGATAGATAGATAGATAGATAGATAGATAGATAGATAGATAGATAGATAGATAGATAGATAGATAGATGTTTAGATAGATAGATAGATAGATAGATAGATAGATAGATAGATAGATAGATAGATAGATAGATAGATAGATAGATAGATAGATAGATAGATAGATAGATAGATAGATAGATAGATAGATAGATAGATAGATAGATAGATAGATAGATAGATAGATAGATAGATAGATAAATACATAGATAGATATGAAGATAGTTAGATATTTAGATGTATAGATAGATTGATAGATGCGTATTGACTAGGATCCTACTTCTGGTGGCGAACAAGTTGTAAGGTATCTTGCTCCAAAGCTTTTACTGCGTACTCTATTTCTGGTAGTTCAGTCTCATTATCTGATCTCGACAAATAGTCAGCTATTACATTTTCTTTTCCTGGAATATGTCTAATCGTGAAGTCATACTCTTGCAGGCGTAACATCCATCGTGATAACTTCCCTCGTGGATCCCGTGCTGTTTTCAACCACTGAAGAGGTTTGTGGTCTGTCTCAATGTGGAATCGGCGGCCGATCAGATATGGTCTCCATTTTTCTAGTGCCCATATAATGGCTAAACACTCCTTTTCCACCGTAGAATACTTCTGTTCTGCAAGTGTCAAAACACGGCTAGCGTATTCAACAACCCCGTCCGTTTGTCTTAAAACAGCACCTATACCATAATCACTGGCGTCTGTCGAAACTGTGAACTGCTTCCCCGGCGCTGGCAGTTTCAAGGTCATCTGTTGACCATCTAACAGCTCTTTAATTCGCTCAAACGTTTGCTGTGCCTCTTCCGTCCACATGAATTTCGCGTCAGTCAGCAACGTATATAGCGGTTTTGCTATCTCATTGAAATTTTTGACAAATCGGCTGTAGAATGCCGCTCTTCCCAAAAACTGTCTCAGCTTTCGCTTTGAATTTGGCACTTCGCTGGTTTTGACCGTCAGGATCTTCTCCGGCAATGGCCATATTTCACCATTTCCCACTTTATAACCCAGGAGGACAACCGTGTTTTTAGCTATTTGGGACTTGTTCTTATTAATCCGCAGTCCAAAGTCATCAATTCTCTTTAAGATAGCTTCGATGTGGTCTATATGGTCGCTTTCCGTCTCATTATAAACCACCAAGTCATCTCCATATACTTCTACGTTCTTCAGACCCTTCAGTAATAAGGTCATTAATCTTCTGAATGTAAATGGGGCACCTACCAATCCAAATGGCATTCGTTTAAACTGGTATTGTTTCTGCCCAACTGTGAAAGCTGTTTTACTTCGATCACTTTCTGCTATTGGGATCTGCCAGTAACCCGATCGTAGGTCTAACACGGTGAATAACTTGGCTTTACGAAGGCGATCAAGGGTTTCTGTTACGGTAGGCATTGCACACTGTTTTACTTCGGTGAGGCTATTCAGCTGTCTGAAATCGACACAAAATCTATATTTCCCGTTAGCTTTCTTCACCAAAAGGATTGGCGAACTGTACGGGCTGTCGGCTTCTTCGATTATTCCGTCGTTTAACATTTCTCTGACTTGTCGGTTAGCTTCTTCTTCAAGGTGAACTGGAACTCGTCGCGATGAAAAGACTGTCTTCCCCGTATCCTTCAGTGGGATGTTATGCTTTACCTTATCACAATAACCGTATGGGTCTCCATCACTAGTGAATAAACCGGCATATTTACTCATCAACGTGGTTAGACGTGGTGCATCTTGCGGAACAATGGTTGTGGTTTCCACCTCAGCGACCTCACTATTCTCATGTATCGCGAATTGCCCGTGTTTTGTGACCACTTTTCTATTCTTCATATCGATTACAGCTCCTGCTTCTCTGAGAAAGTCTGCTCCCAAAATCGTTCGTCTGATATCAGAAGTCACAATAAACGGATATCGTATTTTTCCTGCTCCAATTTCTACAACGCAGTCTGAAACGCCAAGAATGTGCAACGGATGTCCTCCTACCGTCTGAACTGCTAATGTGCACGGCCTTATTTCCTTACACTGTTCTCTATCTATCAACGAAACTGCGGCTCCTGTGTCGATCAAACAAACTATTTCTTTTTGGTTCACCCGTAATCTCCCGTACACTGAACCTCTTTCGACTAACCCGACCACCTCCAAAGGCGAGCGAGAAAAAGAAGGAAGACTGCATCGTTTAAGGTTTTTCTGCCTTCGTTTCGGGCAGTTTCTCTGCCAGTGACCGGTTCCTCCGCAAGCAAAGCATCTGTTGTTTGTCCTTTTCTTTATCTGCATAGCCGCCACCTGTTGTTTCAACTCTTCAATCTGGTCTTCGATCTTCTTGGAATCTTGGCCCTCCGACATCACTGGAGCCACATGCGAGGTCATTATCTGCCTTGTCACCTTGGCCATTTCATAGACATCCATTGGCTGAGCTGCGTTAACTAGCTGCAACTGATGAGCGATATCTGTCGGGACGCATTCGAGAAACTGAGATGCCAGCAACTGCTACCGGGAATCTTCGTCTAGGGTGGGTAACGCACGTCGCAGGTGATTCGTCAGCGTTACTGCGAGAACCAACGGATCCGCATCCTGGCCAAGTCTCGGCGTCCGAAACTTCTGCAGCACCTCTTGTCTGTCCGCAGGGCTGTCGAACTCGCACACGAGCCTCTCAACGACCTTGTCCCACGCCACCTCACCTTCCAGCTCCCGAGCGTTGTCGTACGCAACCTTCGCACGGCCCCTCAGCAGCGTTCCCAAGACAACCAGCTTCGCCTTCTGCTCCTGCACTCCAACCAGCTCCGCGACAGCTTCGAAGCCCCTGAGGAACGTCCGCGCATCTCCCTCCTCGAACACCTGCGGCCAGGGCACCTTCATCTCCGACAGAGGCAGCGACACCAAATGGAAGGAAGACAAGACTGAGGGGGCTGAAAGGAATGTTTATTTGGTGAAATGTACGGTACATAGCTAAATTTGGAATACCATATTCTCAACCGGTCATTAGCACATCATTTACCACATCCTTGACGAATTGGTCGAATATCTTCTCATTCGATAGCTTCTTGGATTCTGCATCATATGGCAACATTCTTCTCATGGTTCTCTTCTTTGATTGCTCTTTCCAGTGTGCCAAACATATTGTTACTTGGTTTCTGAGTTACTACTTATATCGGATTACAAGAGGCACTCACCACACTACTACTACTACTAATACTACAACAACTACCACTACTACTAGGACCACGACTAGGACAACGAATAGGATCACGAATAGGACCACGACTACGACCACGCCTAGGAACACGACTAGGACCACGACAAGGACCACGACTAGGACCACGACTACGACCACGCCTAGGAACACGACTAGGACCACGACTAGGACGACGACTAGGACGACGACTAGGACCACGACCAGGACAACGACTAGGACCATGACTATGACCACGACTGCGACCGCGAATAGGACCACGACTAGGACGACGACCAGGACCACGAATAGGACCTCGAATAGGACCACGCCTAAGACCACGTATCCAACCACGTATCTATCAACGTATCTATGCACGTATCTATTCACGTGTGCAACCACTTATGTATCTATATATCTATATACCTAAATATTTGTCTATCTTCCTGACTATTTATCTACCCATTTATCAATGTATCTATCTATCTATCTATCTATCTAACTAACTATCTATCAATCTATCTGTCTACCTATCCATTTATCTATCTATGTGTCTATCTGACTGTCTATCTATCTGTCTGTATATCTATATATCTCTCTGTCCGTCTATCTGTCTATCTATCTTTCTATCTATTTATCTATCTATCTGTCTAACTCTCTGTAAGTCCATCTATCTTCCTATCTATCTAAGTATCTATCCGCCTATCTATTTGTCTATCCGTCTATCTGTCTGTCCATCTAGTTATCTATTCATCTATCCATCTGTCTATCTTTCTATCTACTTATACATCTATGTATATAACTGTTTTCCTATCTATCTGTCTACCTATCTATCTATCAATCTATTTTTCTATCTATGTATCTATCTATCTAAATATCTATATATCTATCTCCATATCTAAGTACCTATCCATCTATCTATCATGCTATTTATCTATCTATCTATCTATCCTAATATCTATTTATCTGTCTATCTATCTATCTATGTATCTCTCTATCTCTATACCTAATTATCTATCTAAGTATCTTTCTAGCCATCTGTCTATCTATCTATCTTTATATATATCTGACTGTCTATCTATCTGATATCTCTCTTTCTATGTATCTATGTATCTAACTCTCTAACTTTCTATCTATTTATTTAAGTATCTATCTCCCTGTTTATCCATCTATCTTCCTATCTATGTATCTACCTATATGCCCATCTATTTGTCTACCGTCTATATGTCTTTCCATCTATTCATTCATTTATCTATCTATCTATGTCTCCTTCCATCTATCTACCTAACTATTTTCCTATCTATCTATCTGTCTTCTTCTCTATCAATTTATCTATCTATTTCTATATCTATCTCTCAATCTATCTATCTAACTTTCTTTCTATCTATCAATATATCTATCTCTCCATCTATGCAGCTATTTATATTTCTATCTATCTATCTATCTTTCCATCTATTTGTCTATGTGCCTATCTATGTAACTATCCCTCTATCTATCTAACTAAATATCTTTCTATCTATCTACCTATCCATATATCTATCTATCTGTCTATCTGTCTATATATCTCTCTACCTCTATATCTAACTATCTATCAATCTGTCTATCTCTCTATCTTTCTATCTATATATCTATCTATCTGTCTCTCTATCTATCTGTCTATCTAACTATATATCTAACTATCTCTCCATCTATCTTTCTAACTATCTATCTCTCCAATTTTCTATCTATGTATCTATCTATCTATCTATGTATCTATCTATCTCTATATCTTACTATCTATCTATCTATCATGCTATTTGTCTATCTATACATCTATATTTATATCTATTTATCTGTCTCTCTATTTATTTCCCTATCTATCTATCTGTCTGCCTACCTATCTAAGAAGCACTCTATCTATCTATCTATTTTATATCTATCTATCTTACTATCTATCAATTTTATCTTTCCATCTATCTACGTAACTGTCTGTCCATCTATCTATCTATCTAAATATCATTCTATATATCTAGCTATCTATATTCTATCTGTCCATCTCTCTAACTATCTATCTATCTATTTATCTATATATCTAACTCTCTATCTATCTATATTTATATATATATATCAATCTATATAACTTTGAAGCTATCTATTTATCTATTTCTCTATATATCTACATATCTATCTATCAGTTTATCTATCTACCTATTTTCTTTCTATCTATGTAACTGTCAATCTATCTATCTGTCTATGCAGCACTCTATGTATCTATTTCTCTCTTTTAATTTCTATGTCTGTAACTATTTATCTATCTATCTATCTTTATATCTATCCATTTATTTATCTATCTATCTATTTATGCAGCTCTCTATCTATATAAATCTTTATCTATATATCAATTTCTCTATCTCTCTATCTACCTATCCATCTATCTTTCTATCTCTCTATATATTTCTCTATAAATGTATCTATCTTTCTTTATATCTTTACATGTATCTACCTACCTATCTATCTTTCTATCTATCTGTCTAACTTTCTGTCTATCTATCTATCTGTCTATCTAAATATCTATATATATATATATATATATCTAACATTGTATCTATCTCTCTGTCTATCTACCTAACTTCCCATCTATCTATCTATCTGTCTATCTATTCATCTATCTTTCTATCCATTTTTCTATCCGTCTATCTTTCTATCTATATGTTTGTCTATTTATCTATCCATTTATCCAACTATATTTCCATCTATGTATCTATCTATCTATCTGATTTTCTCTCTATCTATCTTTTATCTATCTACGTATCAATCTATCTATCTATCATTCTCTCTATCTATCCATCTGTCTATCTATTTATGCAGCTAATTATCTATCTATCTATCTATTCTTCTATCTATTTATCTAAATTTCTATATATCTAACTATCTGTCTATCAATCTAAATAAATAAATATCTTTCCCACTATCTATCTATCTGTCTTTCAATCTATCTATCTTACTATCTATTTCTCTATCTATCTAACTATCTATCCATCTTTCTGTTTCGCTATCTATATATCTATCTATCTTTCTATCTGTGCAGCTCTCTATCTATCTATCTATCTACCTATCAATCTATTTATCTACCTAAGCATCTCTTCATCTATCTGTCTCTCTCTGCAGCACTGTATCTATCTATCTATCTGACTATCTTCTTATCTATCTATCTATCTATCTATCTACCTATCAATCTATTTATCTACCTAAGCATCTCTTCATCTATCTGTCTCTCTCTGCAGCACTGTATCTATCTATCTATCTGACTACCTTCTTATCTATCTATCTATCTATCTATCTATCTATCTATCTATCTATCTATCTATCTATCTATCTATCTATCTATCTATCTATCTATCTATCTATCTATCTATCTATCTATCTATCTATCTATCTATCTATCTATCTATCTATCTATCTATCTATCTATCTATCTATGAGTACATTCAAATATAGCTATCTACCTACAAATCTATCTATCTAAAGAACGATTTATCTATTTATCTATCTATCTTGCTATCTGTTTAACTATCTGCAAAAATTTCTAATTATCCATTTATCTGTCTATCTATCTATGCAGCTCTCTCTCTATCTAGTTCTATATCTACCTATATATCTATCTATCTTTCTATCTATCTATCTATCTAAATATCTATCTATCTATCTGTCTACCTATCCATTTATCTATCTATGTGTCTATCTGACTGTCTATCTATCTGTCTGTATATCTATATATCTCTCTGTCCGTCTATCTGTCTATCTATCTTTCTATCTATTTATCTATCTATCTGTCTAACTCTCTGTAAGTCCATCTATCTTCCTATCTATCTAAGTATCTATCCGCCTATCTATTTGTCTATCCGTCTATCTGTCTGTCCATCTAGTTATCTATTCATCTATCCATCTGTCTATCTTTCTATCTACTTATACATCTATGTATATAACTGTTTTCCTATCTATCTGTCTACCTATCTATCTATCAATCTATTTTTCTATCTATGTATCTATCTATCTAAATATCTATATATCTATCTCCATATCTAAGTACCTATCCATCTATCTATCATGCTATTTATCTATCTATCTATCTATCCTAATATCTATTTATCTGTCTATCTATCTATCTATGTATCTCTCTATCTCTATACCTAATTATCTATCTAAGTATCTTTCTAGCCATCTGTCTATCTATCTATCTTTATATATATCTGACTGTCTATCTATCTGATATCTCTCTTTCTATGTATCTATGTATCTAACTCTCTAACTTTCTATCTATTTATTTAAGTATCTATCTCCCTGTTTATCCATCTATCTTCCTATCTATGTATCTACCTATATGCCCATCTATTTGTCTACCGTCTATATGTCTTTCCATCTATTCATTCATTTATCTATCTATCTATGTCTCCTTCCATCTATCTACCTAACTATTTTCCTATCTATCTATCTGTCTTCTTCTCTATCAATTTATCTATCTATTTCTATATCTATCTCTCAATCTATCTATCTAACTTTCTTTCTATCTATCAATATATCTATCTCTCCATCTATGCAGCTATTTATATTTCTATCTATCTATCTAACTTTCCATCTATTTGTCTATGTGCCTATCTATGTAACTATCCCTCTATCTATCTAACTAAATATCTTTCTATCTATCTACCTATCCATATATCTATCTATCTGTCTATCTGTCTATATATCTCTCTACCTCTATATCTAACTATCTATCAATCTGTCTATCTCTCTATCTTTCTATCTATATATCTATCTATCTGTCTCTCTATCTATCTGTCTATCTAACTATATATCTAACTATCTCTCCATCTATCTTTCTAACTATCTATCTCTCCAATTTTCTATCTATGTATCTATCTATCTATCTATGTATCTATCTATCTCTATATCTTACTATCTATCTATCTATCATGCTATTTGTCTATCTATACATCTATATTTATATCTATTTATCTGTCTCTCTATTTATTTCCCTATCTATCTATCTGTCTGCCTACCTATCTAAGAAGCACTCTATCTATCTATCTATTTTATATCTATCTATCTTACTATCTATCAATTTTATCTTTCCATCTATCTACGTAACTGTCTGTCCATCTATCTATCTATCTAAATATCATTCTATATATCTAGCTATCTATATTCTATCTGTCCATCTCTCTAACTATCTATCTATCTATTTATCTATATATCTAACTCTCTATCTATCTATATTTATATATATATATATCAATCTATATAACTTTGAAGCTATCTATTTATCTATTTCTCTATATATCTACATATCTATCTATCAGTTTATCTATCTACCTATTT